TGGATAAAAGCGTCTGCTAAATGACTAAATGTAAATGTAATGCATGACTGTAGAACAGCTAAAAAGTGATTCAAATGGTTAAACACCTTAAGGCAAGACACCCCAGGCGAGTAGGTTAAAAAAACCTGATAAAACAGCCTTTAATTGTAATTGAAATCTACAAAGAGATAAATAGAAGTCTATTTTGAATGTTTTCTTTCCACTAAACACGTTACGAAAAGCCAAATAGATCAAAACACCATCAATGCATGAAAAAAATGTTTGCCTTAAAGAAATGGCATTTACCTAAACTCAACATTTGTTTGCAAAATGCTTATTTGTTATGTCAACTACCCACCTATATCAAGCTTCTTCATGAAAGCGGACAGTGTTAGTGAAGCGCTTGACAGTGTCTCCATCTAGCGGTCAGAAACGGCACTGCGCTGTGAAAACATCACACAAAGGCTGAAATTACATCACAATCTTTGTACAAATATATTTATTACAGTTGCAACAGTCAAAAATCAGCAAGGTCTGGACATTACAGAAGAATAATTACATAAATGCATTACATTGGTAATTACGTCACTTATGCAGTCCAGAGCGGAAACGACTATCAAGGGCACAAGTAAAACAAACGACAAAAAATATATAATAATCTAACGGGTTGAATAAAATTAACAGGAAAGTCAGTTTAACCCTTCACATTTATTGGCTATCAGCTCTGTCCTGTAGATCAGAGATGGAAATATTGCTTTATGTTTACAGCTTCTATCCCTGCATGGCTTCACTCAGAAGACAACGGACACAGAATCAGAATAAAACCCTTCATCCAGACGCTCACCTCAGCAGCACAGCACTTCAAATCATTATTTTGAGTCTCCATAAGAGGGAACAACCAGAAAGAAAAAGGTCGACATCTGCATCACGACGACACCAAACCACCTGCACAAAACGGCACCACTCGATGAAAGGTTAAGGGTCAAATGTGACGGTGTTAGTGCGGATGTTTAGGGGAATCTGGGTTCTACCTCCGTTCCTGCTCCCATAAGCCCTTCAAGACTATTGCTAATAAACACCTTGGGTCTGGTTTGGATGGGGCAATCTCCAAAAACACGTCACATTTCATCCCAAAGTCAAAATGACTAAGAAATTACACTTGCGTAATGGATATATTTTAGGACCATTAAAGGGACAGTTCACCCAAAAATCATCATTTACTCACCCTCACGTCGTTCCAAACCTGTATGAATTT